GTGATATCCCAGATAAATTACATCAAGTGCAACCCCAATTTGCAATACACAAGAACTAGAAGACGACAGGTACAGGAACACTTGATGGTTATAAAATGCGAAATTAAAGAGTAATTCTCAAAGGTCGTTAACAAGCATTGAGCTAAAAAGGCACGAAACATTAATTTTCGATGCACAGAGAAGTTTTTCTCCGAGACCAACAGATTTTTCCGCAGCAGAGACTCGCCCGGTACTGATCAATAAAAAATTCAAAAGACCAATCTGGAGTGCCCTAGCGCAGCAGGACTCCCAAAGCCTTCCACCTCTGAAGATGATTCTCACTACTATATATCTGATCCCACCCAAGTGGTCAACGTTCTCCTGTTAATTTTCTAACGTGGATCGAAAAAAGAACCTCGACCCAACGTACTCGGTCTATTGATCGCGCGGACCTAGTGCAGGATCGTCACAGACCATGATGCGAGGCTGGCGGAGGGCGGTCACCAAGTGACCTTCGGCGGTTTGCGCTCACCCCTCCATCCTAATAGCTTTGCTGACAGTAAAATATTCTATAAGGATTTGCATAAGCAGTTCCAAAAGCAGTTTGGCTTCCATTTCAAACATTCCATCATTAACAAAGCCTCCTGATTCATTTGCGGGCATCTTAATGAGCATAATATGGTAGTGGCATACTTTATCAATCTGCAGACCGCTTTCGACACAGTTTGTATTGACAGCCTCATTTATAAAATGAAAGAAAAGCTCAATTTTGATACGCATTTAATCTACTTTCTAAGAAAGAAACTGAGTGACTGCTCTCTCGGTAAATGTGGCCGGGGATGTTGCATCGAGCATCTTCCTCATTTGCGAAGGACTGATTCAGGGTTCGGTCAACACCCCCATCCTTTTCAACTTCTACACGGCCGAGATCCTCGCAATTTTTTACTTAAACAGAGTACAAGGTCGAAAGCATTTGCTGGGTGGTGTGTACGCCACCACTCAAAACTACTAAGATAAACGTCAAGCGGGTTTTACATTCAGAACATGCTTTTTACCGCTTTCTTTCTCTCCTCCCACACAGCACCATCCAAGGACGAGAGACAACAACCGACAGCCATGAATGAAAAAGAAAAAAAGCTGTTAGAGCACTGACTGTGATGTCTGAACTAGCAGTCCCCGGTCAGGAACCGCATCAAATGGTAGTTTACCTCACCATGCCTCCGTTCGAACCATTTTTTGATGTCTGAGAACATACAGTATATCTATTGGCCCTTTCTATCTAACTGAATCTGACCTTTTCAAAGGATCCCTAGACGCTCGTCATCTTTAGTATTCTAGTAGCGGCAATGGTAAAGTCGGGTGCACTTCTGCACTAGTAACAGTAGCAGGCATAATATGCTGGCTTGAACATGGGTAGCCTAAAACGATACGCGTAGGTAACTATTAATGACGCACAGCTAAGCTCGTCGACGGATCGACTATGCCTGCGACTTGGTTACGCAGCTATAGATGAGAACGAGGATGCTGAGTCCACCAGTTCTGGGCTTACTTTTTGAAAGGACCCAGCACATGGTGTTCTTCGGTGTTAAATCCACTGACTGACCCTTGTGACACGCCTACTATGACGCTTCTGGTAGTGCATCGGTAGTGTACTCCAATACTCTGTCATAAAAGTAATCCGAAATGATACTTAGCTGGTATAGGCAAGCGTTTTATTGCGCCCAAAAATGGTAAGGATGTTGTTTCACCCTAGCACGTTGAACGCATTCTTGACATCCAATGTCACTTCAGCACAATATTCATTCGCTCTGTTAAAATTGTGGTGATTATCAAATCATAACCCGGCGTCTATATGTCACCGAGGTACCTGGTACAAGATACCGACGTGGTGTCAAAATCACTGGCTGTATCGCTGACGGTCTCCGCTTCTTACTTACTTATGAGTAAGAGAACTTCAGTTGTCTGATTGGTATTTTGCATGCCCGGGTTGCCAAGGGCACTCGAGTGATGGCCTGGTCAACATCCTTCAATAAATGATCTAGTTTCTCATCAATCACTGTCAATACAAAACCAACAAGTGATACTTTTTTGTCCAGATTAAGACTCAGAATCCTGTCGTACATGACATTTCAAAAAATTGCGCCATGACCTCAGTGCCATCATCCGTGGAAACTTCAATATATAATCACTGAAATAGCCTGCGTGAATCTGGTGAAGGTATGCCGGAACTCCCACCTCGTTAATGGCGTCAAAAATTTTGTTTCATCGCGTCAAATTAAGTTGGTTCTTTACGTCACCATTGAATTTCTTGTCGAACAATACATCGGATGTAGTATTTTTGATTCTTTTTAATGCTTATTTCACGATAGTTCCAGGGGTGGCCATATAATTCGAAATATAATTCTAAAAATAATTTCGAATAATTCGAAAATGCCACGCCATACGCCGATGTGATGCGCGCTGCCAATGCGCAGTGGTCGAGGATGGCCTCGCGTCGGCGCTACTGCTCAGTTGCCCTCGAGCTGCCGAGTCGGACGGACGTGTCTCCAGCACCGACCCAGTGAAAAACTCCGTCAGTGAATTGTGTCCAGCCTTTTATTTGTTATCTCCAAAATAAGTTCTGCTTAGTTGTTGGTGCTGCGTCACCTGAGAAAAAATACTCCGACGTTGTAATGCCTACTTATCGCCGAGCAGCGGTCACAGAATAGAGAGGTTCATTCTTTCACAACCCAGTCGACTGCGTTATAATTCAACGCCAGCCGGCGTTCCATTCCCCCAGCTTTATCGGGTTTTCAACATTAGTACAGTAAATAGATCAGTGTTCGATTATTAGGTAGATTGTCAAAATGATTTTTAACTCAGATTTGATAAGTCTTAAAACATAATGTGATTTTTTCGAAATGGTGTATCGAATTGTTCTAGTTTGACCTTGCAATAAACTCAAAGTTGAGTACGTAGAGGTCGTCTGACTATGAATTCAGATTCAGAAGAGAAGAATTTCCTATTATTACGCTCTTATAAGGAGACCTCCCAAGTGGGGGTGACAAATTCTCACCAAAACATTTTATGGCTTCCTCACCCAATCATGAAACTCAATATGAAAACTGGGTTTTTGAACAGTTAAATAACCTTTTTTGATTAATAATTTTATTGTTTTCGTTTTATTCGCAAAAACAAGCCACTTTTCCAAAAACTGATTGCACCACAGAAAAGGTGAGAAAAAATATGCATTTGTTTATTTTTATTACGAAAGTGTAACGCGTGAAAAATAAGAAAACTTAAAGTGCACCGAAAAAACAGGCCACGGCGCTCAAAAACAGCCGACCTCGCACTCTTCATCTCTTCACCGCCGAACAATATCGAAAAATTCCCTTTCGATGTTTCAATCTAGCTACTCAGAAAGTTAATCAGAGTTGAACTTTGGAAGTTACAACGTATTTTAATTTCAAGTCAATTTTTTGATATTATGGAGGCATATTTTTGCATTTTGGCCCAATCGTTGAAAACTAAGGTAAAATCTTGTCGAAAAATTACGTAGGTTTATTTTCCTGAATTTAATTTAACACTTTATGGGAGTTGAAAACTGAGCAATCAGGCCGTTTCGCTGCCTGCACGTGGCGCTGAGGCATTGTTGATGTTTTTATCCATATATTTCTTTTTATCATTACAGATGAACAGGAGGCGCGCTCTCGTGTGACAATTCTTGGAATAGAAATGACTTTATTATGATAGTATTAACCTGAGTAATAAATTATTTCTGTATGCTTCTTAATTATTGTGCAAGAAATACAATTAAGAACTGGTAATTATAAAATGCATACTATGAAAGATTGATAATAAATTAATTAGTAAAAAAAGTTGGTTTAAAAGAAGCAAAGCACAGTCACTCGTCGACCAATTATGTAACGAACAAAACGGCTCCATATGATTTTTTTAAGGAAGGACAAAATTTCATAAAAACTAGCAGATTAGAGTCAGAGTTTTGTAAGAATTTTTAAGAAAGCAAGAAATATAAAATAAGTTTCCACAAGGTATATACCAGGTATATGTAATGTACATACCTTGTAAATACAAGGTATTTATTATTTATATACATTGTAAAGACAAGGTATTTATGACTGCAAAAAGCACGCGACGCGTATTTACGCCTCTCTATTTTTTATCTCGAAAACCATTGAGTCAAGGAAAAAAGTTTATTGAACAAAAAAATCTTAGAATTGATCGAGGAACACCCTCAAATTTTTTCAGAATTTTTTGGATTGATTTTATATATGCGGAAACGAGGGGTAATCGAATTTCTCAAAATCATCTCCGAAAAATTCTGAAAAAATTTGAGAATGTTCTCCGATCAATTCTAAGACTTTTTTGTTCAATGAACTTTTGCTTTAAACTCAATAGTATTCGAGTAAAAAAACACTTATCACTTTTGTACTTAAGATTTAATAAAACTCGATTAAATAAAAAAAAAAAATTTTCCTTTGTAATAAAAACCTATATTTTTTAGTCATCGATTTTCCAGATTTGTTGGGGAGGCCAGAATTTTAGCGCGAGTTTCATTTAACGCCTAATATATAGAAATTAATATTTTACCAATTATGTTTTATATTTTCGGCAAGGTCTAAATTAGCAAGGAGGTCAAAAGCCGACCCATTGCGTATTTTTACAGTTCATAAAGTTATCTTCGTTTATTTTATTTTTCTACTTAAATATTGAAAAATGGCGTAACGGATTAAAAAAGAAGAGAGCGCGCTGACAGTCGGGCTAGGGAATCATTATTTTTTCAATAAAAAATTTATTTTTCCCACTCTAACCTAAAATACGCAACTTTGCTGCTAATTTTAGGCTCTCGTAGGAAAAAATTGTATCATCAACTAGTGCAGATATTGTTTTTCAACAAAACTCGTTACAGCACTCGCCTTCGGTTCGTGCTATAATCCCTCGTTTTGCTAAAAAACCGTAGCCGCACCCGTTCAGAACTACACTATTTATACATAAATTATTGAATAAAAATTTATAAATACCCTTGTAGTGTATGCTCCTTCGTTGGCACTTTCAATTTCTCTGCTGAGACCAAAATCAGCGATTTTACAGACAAGGGTTCCATTGACAAGAACATTTCTTGCCGCAAGATCACGATGTACATAATTCATTTCAGCTAAATATTGCATGCCACTAGCAATACCTCTCAACATTCCAACTAACTGTAGAATTTGAAATTTACCATCATTTGCTCGTAAGAAAGTATCTAAGCTCCCGTTTTCCATAAACTCAGTAATGATCATCACTGGATTGCTTTTAGTCACAACTCCTTGTAAAAATATAACATTGGGATGTTCAAATTGACCCATGATTGATGCTTCCGTCAGAAAATCATTCCGAGCTTTATCTGCTGATCCAGGCTTTAAAGTTTTGATAGCTACATCAATTTCAGAACGTCCATCTGGTGGTAATTTCAATTTCCCACGGCAAACATCTCCAAATTCACCACCTCCTAAAAAATGATGTTTAGTGAAATTCAATAACTTTTAATTTATTAAAATAAATACGAACCAATTATAGCTTCTATAGTTATAAATCCAGCATCGATTTCTCTGGCAAATTCTCGAACGGCTTGATTGGGATCTTCATAAGTATGCGGATCTACATAACTTCTAGAGCAAGAGTTTGGACCACCTGCACTATTTACTGATGTAGCAGGAGCAAAAAGTGGGGTTGTCACTAAAAAAAGTATATTCATGATAGCAACAGGTTTGAGATTACAATTGTAGTAAGTAATTTTATCAGGATATTTCTTCATAAAAATAGTTCAAGGAATAAAGGTTTTAACGAGGATAAATTAAAGAATAAAAAAAAATTTTTGTCATAAAAATATTGAATGACTTTCTACACAACATTAGGAATCAAAAATTCGATCGCAATTCCGTTGATTGTACCCGCATTTTCTTGCACAGTCTCGTAGAAAGTTATATGGTGTGAGTGAACACTCACATACGCTCACTTATGTATACACACACGCGTTAGCAAGTATTCGTGTTCTGCCAGTACAATCAAATTGACAACTTTACTCAATTTTCCAAAAAGAATTATCGATTCGTTTTTCTATAATCACGCAAAATAGCGTCTTTTTAGCGACTAGGGATCCTGTGTTAAAGTACTGAACTTTGATTGATTATATATCGAAAACGGTACCGCTGAGGTTCCTGAAATTTCTCCCACATATTTAAAGCATTGTCAAAAATAAGTGATTAAAAATTTCAAGACCTTCTATTGATAGTAATTTTTTGAGGGAACCACATTTAAATAACATGCATTAAAAAAAGAAAAGAAATAAAAACAAATACAAAAAGAAAAAAAAGAAAAAAAGTCCTTGAAAGTGCTGAGAAACTTAATATATATTCATAAAAATTATTAACATTATTTAGACTACAAAAAAAAATTAATGAAAATAAGACAATTTAAAGAAAATTTTTGTTTCGTTTAATGGAGAAAAGTCTGTTACAAATTGTCGAAAATGCACTTTTTGACACCATAAAATTATTCAAGAAGGTCTAAGAAAGGCTTGTGTAAAGTTTTCCATTGATTCGTATATTTGAACAAAAATTATTGATAAACTAAAGCATTAGTACGCGTCCTTGGTTTTTTGTTTATAATATGAATAATATTATGGTATAAAAAATTAAATTTACAATTACATTTACACAAAAAGTCGTTTGAGACTTTCCTCAAATGAATGAAACAATAACATTCACTAAATTACCTTATTTTCAATAACTTATTTTGGTAGTCTAAATAATGATGATAATTTTTATAAATGTACAGGTAGTTTTTAGTACTTTTATGTATATTTTCGAAAAATTTCATCAAGATGGGACAATTTTTTAACGAGAAACGGCAAATCTAAAATAGGATGTTTAGCGCTGTGCGCGATTTGGCCCATCGAATAGTTAGTCCTCAATGTTTAGTAGCCACTACTCGATATTTCTCTCAATAGGCATGAACCGAAACCTAGTGGGCCTACGTCTATAAGAAGAGTGAGTTTATTTTATGAGTAATGCTTCCTTACTTTTAAAATATAACGAACTCGTGTATAGCTCGACTTATCGAAGTGGGACACCCTTGAAAATTTACTAAAATATTTATTAGACATTTTTAGGCATCCAACTTTTATTTCAAAAAACTCAAGCTGTCTCCCCAGTTTGGTGGAGTTGAAAATCAATTTGACTCTTGAGGCCCAAATCGTACTTTCAAAAAAAAATTATAATTATCGGTACAAAAAAAGACGATCATCATAATAATTTGAAATTTTCTTAGAATCTTGCTCTTTTAATGTACTTTTGGAAAATTTAGTTTAGAAAACGGTATATCCATTGTTTCTACTCCTTTTGAAGTATTTTTTAAACGAAATCGATCTTGAAAAAAAGATTTCTCTCTTATTTTATTTAATTCTTATGGAAGACGATTCATTTTTTTGTGAACAGTTGACATGGTAAAAAAGTTCTAGCAATAACGAAAAAACAACTTTTTTTACACGTTAAAAATTACGAAATTGAAATTCCGAAAAAAGAATACACATGAAAAGGTGTAACGGGCCTATTTTTAAAAATACCTACGAGAGAAAAGATGCCTTAAGGAGGAAAAAGTACCTCCAAATTCAAATAAAGGGGACCGATCGGTGTTAAAAGCTTGAATTAAAAAATATTATATAAACCGAAATGGTGAAAATTTTCTTTTTTGAATGAGTGTACTTTTTTGAAGATTTTGAGACCCCATAGATCAATATTGACGAAGAACTCACGTCAGAATCGCGTGGCAAGTATATTCAATTACAATATTAAGTATTATTTAGAAAATGATGTAATTGGTATTTCAGAGCTTGGGTAGAAGTTTTTTTGGTCAACCAGGGGTAGGATGAACATATTCTACTAGCATAGAACAAATATTTCCACTATTTCTATTTATATAGCAATTTTCGAATTCAAGCTTTCAGTACCGTTCGGTCGCCTTAATTTAAAAGATAAATTTTTTGAATGAATCTAATGTATCATTTCTGGGTGAAATTCAATTGACTTGGTGAAGCGATTGTATGATGTTCTTGACCGTCTTTGGAGGCCATTTTTGGATATTCAAAGGTTTAACTTGCCTTATCATATAAATATTTTTCAACACTCCGTGCGTGGAACCTGGTTTTTCTAACCTTTCAGTAATACAAAAACCATGTTTTACGCACAAACTGCTAACGTGTCTGAAGAAAGTTTTACTTCAAAAAATTTTATAACTCAGTTTAAGATTTAAGTTCAACAAAAAGTAATTGAATTGCGAAAGTTTTATTTGTGCATAGTTGTACAACTATAACAAAAAGAATAAAGTTTGAAATCTTTTTCTAGAGATCCGCGCTTTTTCTGCTTTTTTTATCGAATCGACAAATATTTAATCGATTGTTCAACATATTTATTTTCAATACTTCAATATCAGGCTTATATAGTCTTTAAAATATACTTTACAATAGCTCGGAAAAAAAATTTCAAACAGAAATATTTAATAGATTATTTATTCATTAATAGTTCATTCGTTGGGGTACGAAAATCCTCAGTGTGCCAAATACGTTACAACAGAAAAGTTTTTCAAATAATAGTTAGTATACAATATTTCATAAATATAAATAATGAATTTTATACATAGTATTTGAACTTACTGTATGTTACCACTAATCCTGTTATCCATATGATGAGGATATATAGATCGAAAACGATGCAGAGAGATGACATTTCCATCCAGATTGAACGTACCATGAAAATGTAAAAGTTCGATAGTGATTAATTTCATGCATACACCAAAAATCTTAAATATAATGCTCAAAAATTACATACAGTTTAATCAAATGAAACATGAAGCATTTGAAATTGACATTATTCTACTTGACTTTCATTCAATTTACATTTTTCATGCCAAATACTATTATGATTTTTTTTATGATTTAAATCGTTACTTTTTATTCGTTAAAGAAATATATCAAAAATATCAAAAAGATGAATGACATCATAAAATGAAAAGTTTTATAACGGTTATCCTGCGTGGGAAGAATTATGAAAGTAGTAGATGATAGGTTCTAGTTAGTATCAGTGTATGTGAGAACAGAAAGCTTTTAAAATTTTAAAGAATAATTATACGATAGTTGCTAATGAAAACAAAAAGAAAAAAATGAAAATCTCAATAACTCGAATTATTTTTTATTCCCTCGCTTTCACTCGAAATCTCGTTAAGTCGAAAATCGCGATAACTCGAAAAATAAACTGTTCCCCGAGGATTTCGACTTATCGAGATTCCACCGTACCAATGCAATGAACTATTGTGGTACGGTAAATAGGTAAATTCGTACTCCTTGCTCTTCGTTAATTAAAGTCATAGACCTAAGATTAAGTTTCCGAAAAATTATTGAATATTCATCATTTAGTAAAATTATTAAGAACACGTTTGACCAAATAACTGATAAATCGTTCCCTCAAGCTCTAACCTGAACTACGTTACTTTGACGTATATGTTGGGCTTTCGAGGAAAAAAAATTGTATTATCAGCTGGTACAGATATGGTTTTTACTCCAAACTCGTCACAGCACCCAGAAAAAGTATACTATTTTTTATTTTTACAGGTCTAGAAGATGTTCTACAAAAAATGTGATAGTAAACATTTTCAATTAATAAAACAACTTACCTTCTCCATTTCTGTATTCTAAGGTATCACAATCACTGGGTTGTTTTTTTCCACATTCATCAGAAGCTCTACTGCAATTTATTGATATTAGAAAACTTAAAAAAATTATGTTGATAGATAAAACTTAGTAATCAATTTACCTTCTTAAGAATAAAACTGTCATGATTATTATTATAACTAAAAGAACAACAACGGCAACTATAGCTCCTGCAATAATTCTAACATGCATATTATCTTCATCGCCTACGTAATCTGCAAATTAATTTAAAAAAATCATTTTATTCAGTAAGATAAAACCTTATCCAAAAAATCGTTGAAAAAATATCTGACCTAATCCAATTGATCGAGTAGTCATTTTATATATAATGGGTGTATATTCTCCCCAGCCTCGTGTTGTTTTCGCTCGAACTTGAATAGCATAATCAGTCGCAGGTTTGAGACCTTTAAAAGTAGCAGATAAATCGGTTGTTTCAATAATTGTGGCATTTGTGGCTTCTTCAAATCTTGAATAACATTTTGCTGAAAAGGGAGAAGAATTTTTATATATATCATCGAAATTAAGAATATAAGACGATTCTTGAAAATTTTCTGTACTAATTTTAAATTAAAAAAAAACAGATATAATATTTTGAAAAATATTGTGGAATTCTGAAATGGATTTATTCGACAAAAAATTAGGGTAATTACGGTGATTTAAATAGATTATTTCAGTTATCGATGTAAAGTGATAACTTTTGGTCATAATTTAAATTATAGGTATTTTATTTTGTTAAATGATTTAGATATAAAAAGAGCTAGCAGTAGAGCTAGCGTTTTTATCATAGCATTACCAATCGGTATTTTGATTTAGTGTTTTTTTTAACATTGAAAAGCTATTATACTTGCTTTTTGATCTCATGAAATTCACATACAGATTTTAGAACCTGAATTCTTAAAGATACAAAAAATTTTTTATTGATTTGGTATTTTGGCGTTCCACGAAAAACTTGAAGGATAGTTATCAAAAAAAAGAATTTTTGTAATAGAGTACAATTTTATTAACCTATGAGCATTGGGATGGACGTTTTTCAAGACAACATTTTGTTGAATATATAGAATGGGTAAAATAAATAAATTGTAAACACTAATAGTCTTTATTGAAAAATGCCGGGCACATACTGTCGTGACGACGAGAGCAGAGCGAATGGAGATTACAGTAACATGAGAGTAAGCAACGCGAACGCGCACGACATCTGTGAGTGTGTGACCAAAGAAAGAATGATTGAGATTAACTGAATGAAATTATAAAACTAATAGAATATCTTAATCATTTAAAAATGTCCGAAAACTATAAGATTTAGGTTTTTAATGTGAAATTTCATGCATTAATACACGTCCACTCAAGTAAAAGCACGGAGTTACAAAAATTACATTTAAAAAAAACTCTACCAATTTATAGAAAAAGAGCTTTATCATAAAAAATCATATTTTTATGTATGACCACTAATATAAACGTTTTTTGAGATATTGAAGTATTTGAGTATCTGAGTTCCTAATCCGAAAACGTATATCACGGATTTTTTTTAAGTACGTTCGGAGGGTTTCCGGCAAGTAAGAAATTGAGCTAACTGGACCAAAAGTGCCGTACGGCCACTGCGTTAGGACACTTAGCGTGGAATGCATCATATATGAGATTTTACGATCTAGATCCTTAGGAAAGCCTTAAGCTACCAGGAGATCAGATAAATAGTGCGTATTATATCTTCAACTTGATAGCTACTTTCAGGTTGAGGACGCCAATTTTGACCTCTCGGATGATAATCAAATCCGTATAATGAAACGAAAACTACGTGATTTAATTACTTTGCGCACCCACGCGCAAGGCTGAATCACACGCGATTCTCCCAATACATACAAATATGTAAGCATTGCGAAACATCGAGAATATGTAGAGATAGCGCATCTTCTGAATAACCTCAATGATATAAAAAATTGAAATAGACTTTACAAGAAAAAAAATCAGATGATAAGAAACGTCAAAATTACTCCAATAATATATGGTTTTAAATGAAAGAAAATTTTTTTACATTGATACAAGATTAACTCCAAATGAAAGGTAATCCAATTACTTCTTGACATAAAAATCATTCATCTGAGAATAGTTGACGATGAATTGAAATAAGTTTTGAAAAAAACTGACCAATTTGTACACAGTAAATAGCGTTATTAAAAAATGTCCAAAATTAGCATCACAGCTTGGATTTTTGACGGGTCTCCTACTCATTAGTACCAAATAATAGATGCGAATGTTAATTTTCTTTTTTAAATTATTTTTTTGAAAGCTCAATTTTAATTACTGAAGTTTTTCATTGTGTGGACGAGACGGGAATTTCCGGTGTTTTTGAGTTTTGGAATTTTTGCACTATGGAAATGCTAATCCATGATATTCATTATTTGCTAACATCCTTTTCATACATAGAATTTAGCGAACATAATTTCAATTTGTTCATATCTGTTATAAATTTAAATTTTTCACCTACTCTTAATGTTTTTATTACAAAAATAATGTTTGAATTTCAATTGGATCTTACCTTCATATCTTTCTACAAAGTCATTGTCTCCATTGAAATCATTAGTTGGAGCGTCCCAGCTTATGCTCAACTCAGTACTTTTAATATTTGTTATTCTTACATTACTAACGAGACTCGGTACACTCGCTTCCGTAGTGACTTTTATATCTACGAATGTATCCTTATCCTTATCATTAACTAATGGTGATACGCCATTTTCCGCATATACTTTAAATGAATATGTTGTCACAGCATTTAATCCAGTTATAGTAATTTTAGTGTCATTGAATATTTCCTGTAATAAATAATAGAATATCTTTTAAATAAAATAATTATGGAAGTTCAATAAAAAAGTTTCAAGCATGAATATGGGCAATTTCGTAAAAATTGTCTCACTTTTAGTAAAAGGTAATAGGAGAACACGGAGCATGAGCGGAGCATGGGTTCGAGGTTAAGTGGGTTTTGCTGTTTTAAATTAGAAAAAATCATTGAAAAACAAATCGATGCACTTGATTGTTGATTGTTCAATGAGAAATGGTTTTGACAAAATTTTATCTTGAATAATTATAAACTATTATATAATTTAGACAAAGCTAAATCATAGTTATAAATGAAAATTTTGCTTCCTTGCAATTTGATTTTACAATCATTTTAAAATAAAACATTATAATTTTTTCGCGAATTTTTTCCAGCAATTTATGACAATTATCAATCTTATTATTTTTGGGCTAAATAAGGGCAATATTGAGATACACAAAAAATATTTTTATGACTTTTACTACACATATATGTGTATAATCAAGCCAAGTATGGAGGTACGAAAAAAGTCAGGTGCGTAAGGTTCTAGTGTTTCCGCGAGAATGAGTCACCTGAAGCGAAAAATAAGATATACTTTTCATTCAGTAGATGGTTGGCTATGGTTCGAACTAGAATTTTAATTTTTGGATCGAAAATGATCTTTTTTTGCTCCATTTTATGTAGTAAAAAGATAAATAAAATTTGAATGATGCCATAATTCTAGTTCCAACCATACCTATATACTAGGGTGGTCCACTTTTTCAAAAAATTTTTGTATCTCGGGGGATTCATCGGAATCAGAAAGTTTGAGGTCTAAAATGAATTTTCCGGTAAACTAGAACTCAAAAAAATGATTTTAAATGGTGTCGATGGATTTTTGAAGTTTAAAAACGCGCTCTAAAAAAGAAGCAAAATCGAGCTATCATTCGATTTATTTCAAACTCTGTTTAGAGTGAAAAAATAATCTTGACAATACATTTTCTTATGTGTTTTTGTCTGCAGAATCGAATGCCGTAGTCAGTTTTGACCTAGGAGCACAATTTCATTCAAAAAAATATACTTTTTCGATCGTTCATTTTCGCAAATTCCGCAAAGTTCATTTTCGAGCGAGTGGCAAATGAACAGAAAAAATCTAGAAAATTTTTTGCACCACCAAAATTTAGGATTTCTTATAACGAATCCAATGGTATAAATTAGTATTCACTTTGAAATTATTTTAATGCAGAAAAATACAACTTTATCCCAAAAAACGATATTACGAAAAATTGAAAAATCGAAAAGTGTATTAGTTTCTTCCAGGAAATGGCTCAGTAGAATCAACTATGGAAAACATTGCATGAAACTATCTGATAGGTTTTTTTCTCACCTTTCCAACGCCGGTTTCAGAAGTTAAAAATTCGCAAGATTCGCTGAGATACAGCTATTTTTGTACGATGCATTTTTTAGGCTTAAATTCTGCTTGGCAGGTTTTTTAATGAATAGAGCAAGCTCAGAAATATTGAATTTTTAGCCTAAAAAATGCATCGTACAAAAATAGCTGTATCTCAGCGAATCTTGCGAATTTTTAACTTCTGAAACCAGCGTTGGAAAGGTGAGAAAAAAACCTATCAGATAGTTTCATGCAATGTTTTCCATAGTTGATTCTACTGAGCCATTTCCTGGAAGAAACTAATACACTTTTCGATTTTTCAATTTTTCGTAATGTCGTTTTTTGGGATAAAGTTGTATTTTTCTGCATTAAAATAATTTCAAAGTGTATACTAATTTATACCATTGGATTCGTCATAAGAAAACCTAAATTTTGGTGGTGCAAAAAATTTTCTAGATTTTTTCTGTTCATTTGCCACTCGCTCGAAAATGAACTTTGCGGAATTTGCGAAAAAGAACGATCGAGAAAGTATATTTTTTTGAATGAAATTGTGCTCCTAGGTCAAAACTGACTACGGCATTCGATTCTGCAGACAAAAACGCGTAAGACAATGTATTATCAAGATTATTTTTTCACTCTAAACAGAGTTTGAAATAAATCGAATGATAGCCCGATTTTGCTTCTTTTTTAGAGCGCGTTTTTAAACTTCAAAAATCCATCGACACCATTTAAAATCATTTTTTTGAGTTCTAGTTTACGGGAAAATTCATTTTAAACCTCAAACTTTCTGATTCCGATGGATCTCCCGAGATACAAAAAGTTGTTGAAAAAGTGGACCACCCTACTATATACATTACAAGTACGTGGTTAAAATTCGAGACGAACGACCGAGTAGTTTTTGAGAAATCCCCGGAACTGTATCAAAAAACATCATTATAGCACAGCGCGGTATGAGTTTACATTTATGGTACCGCAGATTGCTAGGCATAAACAGTTAAACACCAATTCTTTTACATTTTTCGTTTTTGCCAAAATAAAAGTCATAACAGTACGGTTTGATAAAGATCTATGAGCTCAACCGTCTCACGCAAAGTAATAGCCGTGAGCATTGATGTTCTGAAGAAGTGTACGCGACCCTGCTGCTAAAACTCAAACGGTACCCTCTGAAAATTACAAGAGGTGGCCTTTTTGGACAGAAAACGCAAAAGAAAAAATATTGTAACACGTAAAGTATACGAAAAAAGCTCATGGAAGCAGCTGTGTCTCAGTGCAAAATCAAAATTTTAGAATTTCGAAAAATGCAATGAAAAGGGGAAAAATCAAAATCCTACTCAAATATCCAATAAAATAATTTTGAGTTAAATGTGTATATAAGCCCTCAAATATGTACATAATAGTCAAGCTGAGCTAGGTGGGTTAATTCTTTGGTTTGCAGTTTGTTTGTTTACAAAATAATACCCAGGGTGGGCTACGTGAGTGTCGGTTTTGGTTTGCATTTTCCTGCTTTTATAAAAAATTTGTTTACAATTTTTTCTCATAATTTTTTTATCACTGTGCGAGCTGGAAACGAAGAGGATAACCATAAGTAGGTCTAGGCGAGGACTCAGAAGGCTGACGACAGACGGGGAGCACAACACTCCCATGATGAAGTCAAAAGCGAGAACCACACTCACAAGACGACAACAGAACGGAGTATCAATAATAACTCACCAGGACTCACAGGGTAGCGACAGAAGCGAGAACCACACTCACAAGATGGTACTGAGCAGCGAGTTCTAATACTTAACTCAGGAGGAGACGCCAGCACTATGTGACCACGCTTAAGAGACAGCTCTGAAAAAGGGGACACGACAATCGAGAGACGGCATCGCGCAGGATCGAAGGTTCACCAAGTAGAGAAGAATAAGTCCCTGAATCCCTAATCGTCTCATATCACTATGTGACAGATGGGGGATGTATGGAAACGACTAACATAGAAGTAGCAGAAATGCTCAACTAACCCCGGCCTCACCGAAGCAATGCCTAGCGTCGATTACCAGTGAGTGTCCGAATGGGGTGGAGTGGAAAAAAAACACACACTCTATTATGTTATGTATATATGGGCTATTCCATAAAAGGTGTTGCAGGCCCAAAAAATGAAGTTGAAAGTAACCATTTACTCTTCAAGAACCCAATGAAAAATGACAATCCTGAAGAGCACAGCCCCCTAGGTCCAACCCTCATGGATCTACAGGGGCTCAAAGTTGGATTTTCATGTTTTGACAATATTTTGCTTGTTACTCTGCTTTTCTGGGGTGCATATGAAAAAATTTTCAAACCATGTTTTTTCATGTAAAATTTGATGTAGAATTCAAATCTGTACTCAGATGAGACATTGATAAGCTCGAAACCCCTTAAAATTGTAAAAATATAGCAAAAGACCATCAAAGTCCAAAAATAAATATGTTCGTATACCTCAAATCAGCCCATATTGTAATATGTTCATCGATACACCAAAATACAACTTCTGACAAAGTTTGGTAACTGAGTCTCTAATAGAGACAATTTGATAGCTTGCAAAGAGCCAAAAAACATGGAAAATGAGGAAAAAACCATGTTTTTGGGCTTTCGAAAGCTACAAAATGATCTATATTGGAAACTCAGTTACTAAACTTTATCAGAAGTTGTATTTTGGTGTATCGATGAACATATTACAATATAGGCTGATTTGAGGTGTACGAACATATTTATTTTTGGACTTTTATGGTCTTTTGCTATATTTTTACAATTTTAAGGGGTTTCGAGCTTATCAATGTCTCATCTGAGTACAGATTTGAATTCTACATCAAATTTTACATGAAAAAACATGGTTTGAAAATTTTTTCATATGCACCCCAGAAAAGCAGAGTAACAAGCAAAATATTGTCAAAACATGAAAATCCAACTTTGAGCCCCTGTAGATCCATGAGGGTTGGACCTAGGGGGCTGTGCTCTTCAGGATTTTCATTTTTCATTGTGTTCTTGAAGAGTAAATGGTTACTTTCAACTTCATTTTTTGGGCCTGCAACACCTGTTGTGGAATAGCCCATATATATATATATATATATGAGCAGTGTTTTCATATATGTACAACTTTTGTGCGGGGGGTTCTCGGATCTGCCCCAAAATTTAGTATGTTATTTAGGTATGTGAAAATAGCCTTCAGGTAAATTTTTAGCCCTCTAGGGGCCTTAGGGCCCAAATTTGGGCCCCTCGAAGGTCCAAAAATAGCCGTTTTTACCTATTTTTGCGTATTATTCAAATATTTGTAACTCGGGCACCGGTGCATATTTTTTAACTCTGAGGGTCGCATTTTTTAGGTCAAGACATGTACTTTTCGTAAAAAAATTATGTAGAGCTCGATAGACCAACCCCCGGTTATGGGGGGGCAATGAAGGGGGATGAAAAATCGCAAAATTGACGTTTTTTAGCTTTTTTTGAATTGATGCAGAAGGCGACTGGATTGACGTATTTACTTTTGCAACGTCTCATTTTAAAGGTATTTTTATTACCTTTAAATTGCCGTGCGCAGAATTAAGATTGGTTCAAAAACGACGGAGATAGAGCTGTTTAAAGGTGTCAACATTATGAAAAAAGGCGTTTTTTCGAGATTTCGATAAGCTGTAACTTTTTTCTAGTAACATGAATCTCTTTGAAATTTTATGTGAAAGTAGTTGATTACATGTAGTTTGAAGCCATGTAGGTAAGGATCTTGGTATTTGCCTCTATAACCGAAAACGAGGCCCCCGAAATCCGGCACTTTAGCCCTTATATAGGCAAAATACATGTTAAATTGGGCGGCAAAACTATTTGGTAACTCCTGAAATTATCGCAAAATAAACATAAAAAAAAAATCAAAAACCCCATATTAAACGTATTTTTCGACGAGGAATCCAATGGTAACCTCGAATTTGACCTTGAACATAACCTCTAAACTATAGCGAACCAAAATTGATTTTTCGCACGGTGACCCCCTTTTTTTATTTCAGATTTGAAAAGAGCGGAAAATTTCACGTTCAAATACATATTTCGTTTTTTTTTTCAAGGTAATTTTAAGGGCCCCACAGATCAAGAATAAACTCTTTGGCTGAGTTTAATATTAGTTTTAATGGAGCCTTCATTTTCAAACTGTGGGGCCCTTAAAATTACCTTGAAAAAAAAAACGAAATATGTATTTGAACGTGAAATTTTCCGCTCTTTTCAAATCTGAAATAAAAAAAGGGGGTCACCGTGCGAAAAATCAATTTTGGTTCGCTATAGTTTAGAGGTTATGTTCAAGGTCAAATTCGAGGTTACCATTGGATTCCTCGTCGAAAAATACGTTTAATATGGGGTTTTTGATTTTTTTTTTATGTTTATTTTGCGATAATTTCAGGAGTTACCAAATAGTTTTGCCGCCCAATTTAACATGTATTTTGCCTATATAAGGGCTAAAGTGCCGGATTTCGGGGGCCTCGTTTTCGGTTATAGAGGCAAATACCAAGATCCTTACCTACATGGCTTCAAACTACATGTAATCAACTACTTTCACATAAAATTTCAAAGAGATTCATGTTACTAGAAAAAAGTTACAGCTTATCGAAATCTCGAAAAAACGCCTTTTTTCATAATGTTGACACCTTTAAACAGCTCTATCTCCGTCGTTTTTGAACCAATCTTAATTCTGCGCACGGCAATTTAAAGGTAATAAAAATACCTTTAAAATGAGACGTTGCAAAAGTAAATACGTCAATCCAGTCGCCTTCTGCATCAATTCAAAAAAAGCTAAAAAACGTCAATTTTGCGATTTTTCATCCCCCTTCATTGCCCCCCCATAACCGGGGGTTGGTCTATCGAGCTCTACATAATTTTTTTACGAAAAGTACATGTCTTGACCTAAAAAATGCGACCCTCAGAGTTAAAAAATATGCACCGGTGCCCGAGTTACAAATATTTGAATAATACGCAAAAATAGGTAAAAACGGCTATTTTTGGACCTTCGAGGGGCCCAAATTTGGGCCTTAAGGCCCCTAGAGGGCTAAAAATTTACCTGAAGGCTATTTTCACATACCCAAATAACATACTAAATTTTGGGGCAGATCCGAGAACCCCCCGCACAAAAGTTGTACATATATGAAAAAACTGCTCATATATAATGTAAATAATATATAATAATATGAATGTACATCCTTGAATTTTCCCAGTATTCTTCATTTTAATCTCCCTTCCTAAACATGATGTAATTTCCATATATCATAATTAAATAATCTTATCTACGGTATGCATGTGCAAAAATGAATGAATGGATTATAATTTATAGAATTATTTTTAAAACTTTTTACTTGAATAATTTTTAAATAAATCAATGAGATGATGAAAAACGTACCGTGCTAGGAATATATTTTACAGCTGAGTTACATACGTCACATTCAACGCGATATGTTGTGTCCAATCGACCACCAAGGATATGCGGTGCATTCCAAGAAAGAATTACAGTTGATTGATCGACGAAATTGACTGTAAGATTTTGAGGTGCTGATGGAGGTTCTAAAAAGATATACATTAGTTAGTACAATCAAAACAAAATAGTATATTATGATGAGGGTGCTAGTGCCGTGGTAAGAATGGGCTACTTGAGTCATAAGTATCATATGCTTTTTTATAGCACTGTGCTAAATTCACGTTTAGGCCCCCTTTGGCGAGATATAAGGTGCTCATAATAGCGTCGTGGCGTGAGGTTAGCGCACGAGCGTAGCGAGTGTGATATGCGCGCCGCGGTGCAATAATGAGCAGCTTAAGTCACGGCAAAGCGTGCCTTAAACGTGAACTTTAGCCACGCAGTGCTATAAAAAAATTTTTAGGTATATTAAAAAAAAGTAATAAGAACTTTAGCTTCATTAAATAATCACAACAAAAACTTAATCAGTTTGTGCAGAACGTAGGAAACTTGTGAGAGATGTACAGTGTACATCTTGAAGTATTCGTTTATCAAGTTGCATTTAATCTTACTCCCCGGGATTCAAAGTTTTTCAGTGTTTGAGATTTACATAAACTGCATATTCGCGCACTATGTAAGTCTGCGGCAGCTTCTCGCTATTCATTTAGAGATGGCATACCGACTCTTGTTACTCGCTTACCACACGGTACTACATGGCTCATTGAGAACGTCGATTAATATTTTTTTTTCACAAAATAATTCATGGGGAATTAATAATGATTACAAAGAAATTAAAAAAGTAACCTCAAATTTTTTCCAATTTTTTCAGAGATGTGAATGCATTTTTTGAAGCCGAAAACCCCCTTTTTAGACGAAAATAATTTTTTTTGACGATACGGAGCCTTGAAAAATGTGAAAAAATTTTTTTCTAATTTTTTACATCAAAATATATAACCTCAAATTTTTTCAGATCTTTTAAATGAAAGCGATACCTTCTATAGCCAAAAAAACGCTATTTTTAACAAAAAAAGGTTCCTGGAACCCGTAGGTTCCAGTTAAAGAATTTTAAAATACTTTTTTTGAATTTCTAGTCTAATTTTAATAAATTTTGACTTTTCCAATTTCCCGATTGAAGCCCTCTAGCTCAATCTAGAGCATCAAAACAGTTCAATCGTCTCTTCATGCCTTCAGAAATATCCTCAGAATTTTGCAATAATCTTTGTAATACTCTAGATAGGATTTGTATTACGCTTCATGCTACACACGAATCCTTCAAAACAATCTGAACCACTTCTCGCTACGTGTTTCCGTTCAAAAGTGACACTGATTCCAGACCATCACACGTACATACATAAACACATACACACACAGACACACACTCACATAAACATTTATTCAGAATGTAATGAAGATTACAAATATGTAACTGAAATTTTCCGACGACGCCTGGTTCCAAATCTTATTTTCAAGCCTATCACATAGCTTTCTCTGTGAGGGAGCAATATGTTTTGAGAATAAGGCGTACTATTAAGCATTAGGAAAAATAATTTGAACATTTATTAACTTATTGAAATCTACGTCCAAATACGTAACGCAGAAGCAAAAAATCCGGTGGACACCATCACTCAAAATCTACTCGACCAATCCACTTCATATTTTATACACTATTTAAGTAGATGATATATGAGGTAATGACGTCGAGATACTTTAGCTTTTTGCATTTTTAAATGCTTTTTACGAACAAGTACGATGAATTTTTGCCTACATTTTGTCAAAATAGTATATTTTGCAACAAGTGCGCGAAGCAGTTGACTCATCCAGGAGTTGTTTTCACCCGAGCGTAGCGAGGGTGCAAAGACTCCTGGGTGAGTCAACTTCCTCGCGGACTAGTTGCAAACGATATTTTTTAACTCTGCTTGCGAGAAACTAGGGTTTTCTGACGCTTTAAGGTTAGAAAACCCGTGTTTCGCGCACGCAGTGTTAAAAAAGTCATTTTTTTCACTTCAAAATGATGCCAAAAACTCAAAAATCATTTTAATCGAAATATCTCGACGTCATGACCTCATAATTTATGTAGATAAATAGTGAGAAAAATTTGGAAAGAATCGAACGAGTAGATTTTCAGTTACAGTGTCCACGGCAATCAATCTTTTTTTTTCAGTTCTGCTGGAGTTAGCTTATTTTTCACTATTTTACGATGAAAATTTAACTGAATGTTCTTCAAATAACCATTTATAATGTATATAATTTACAGATAAATTCATTTTACTATGTGCTCAAAAAAAATTATTAAAATGCAGCTCGAAAACCATCGAACAAGACCCTGCCCCCCCCTTAATTTATCATTAACAAATGAAATTCTTAACACACTTGGTCTATCTTTTTTTATCTTTTTAAATTTTTTTTTTCAAAATAATTTTCAGAAAATGTTTTTTTTTGATGCTGAGACCATAACAAAATATGAAAACAAGCCTTTCCCTTCATTCCTAAAAGTAATCTTCGCTCTTTCTCAGTTACAAGGCAGGATATAAATGTTATTTTATTTTTTTTTTCAACAATTAGTTAAAACCATCTTTGGAAGAAGCTCCTTGCCAATAAATTGGCAGCGGTTTTTCTTTCAGTCATTTTGAAAACGGTACAGTTAGAAAAAAAGCCCTTAATCGAACTTAATTTCCGGTTAAAACGGGGTTTTTATTTACGTCTGTAACGCTTTAAAACGACCTTGAATAAAAAATCGATTTTTTGTTCACTGGAGCTTGAAGGTTATGTTATAGGTCAAATTGAAGGTCACCATTAGATTCCTCGTCAAAAAATACGTCTGGTTTAAGGTTTTTGATTTTTTTTGTGTCCATACTTTTGTCACACCCTGTATACATATAGGCAGATATACCGTTGGTTTTGTTAAAAAAATCCTAAATTTTGGTAGTGTCAAAAAATTGTCTAGATTTTTTGCTCATTTTTGAATGCTCGAAAAGACGAAAAAAAGTCAATTTTTTTAAACAAAAGCCGTAGGACAAAACAGACTGTAGAATTTGATTTTACACGCAAAATTACGTAAGAAAACTTCTTGTCAGTACATATTTTACCCTCAAAGCAAAGTAGCTATCTATAATGTGATTGAAATTTTGGGAGCGATTTTGCTAAATTTTAGAACCACGTTTTTATATTCCAAGAGTCTATTGACACCAGTTTCCGTCACTTTTTGGACTTCACAGGTGTGGCTTTTTTTATGTGAAGACCTATCTTTTAAGAATCTGCTAGTATACAAGCAATATTTAAACATCGATGTAAACGCGGTCCGGTCTAGTGTACACAGTTACCTGATCTCCATCCAGTCACTAAGGTGTGCACAGACTAAAAATACAAGCCCGTTCGGTAAGCGTTACTCTGCACAACTGACGTAAATAATAGTACAGTGTCACCGAAAATGATGAATGCGCACAGAAATTTTGTGATTCTCAATTTTTCTTATAAAAAATATAATTTTCGACCGATTTCTTATAGGCTTAGGATCAGTCATAAGTTCTAATCGATGGACATTCATGGGTTTCTAGAGTTATAAAAATTAAGTACGACTCTTACTCGGAAAGTTTGAATTTTCGGTATGTAGAAAATAGACAAGTTAATAAATAAATAAATATTTCGGTTGTAATACTTACGGGTGCATGGCATATTTTTAGGATCTTTTGAAGCACGATAATAACCAGTGTCACATCTACATTCTGTGAATGCGTAATCAGGTGCTTTACTATGAGCTGGACAAGATTCACATATATGATCTCCAGGTTCATATTTAAATTTACCTATAGGACATTCTTTACATTCCTGTTTTTTGATATCAGCTTGATACCCGGGTTTGCAATGACATCCTCCATTGGGAAGGTACCATTTACCATCACCTTTGCATAAAAATGTCGGTTGCTCTATCTTAACAGCATTTATTACACATGTACCTAGTGTTTGCTCAATTAATGCAACTTCACGTCCTGTCGGTGTTGCTGGAAATCTTGCAAAATTAATTGATATTTCTGGACAACTAATGTAGTATACTTTAATTGCTAATAATGAAATGCAAGCGCCTTGATCTCTGAAAGCGAAATAGACTCCTTTCTTCGTGACCGGTATTGATTTTATTTCCGTGTTGATTATAACTTCAGTATTACTATTAAATCGACCTTCATTTGCAGCAATACGACCTAGTATGGTAAAACAACGTAAAATAATTAATTTTGCATGAAGTATTCATTCAGAATAATATTTTCAATGATAATTGTTAAACTGAGAAAAGCAAGTTTCTTTTTTTGTAGTTGGGTGTAGTTGTGATTGTAGAGTGTAGAGATTCTGCGCCGCACGGGGTACTGCGTGCTTATGTAGCTGGCGCTTGGGCCGAAAAGTCACGTTTATACATTTTCATCGCTGTACTTCAGCTAATAGAAGTAAACTGTACTCTCTGGAAAGCATGCATTTATGTGGGACATTTTTTCAGCTTTCTATCTAGACTGTTTTCAAGAATCTTAAATATGGGTTTTTGGGAATATTTAATGTTAAAGATTATTTTTAAAATTTTCCAGAAAAAATTAAAATTTCTGAAACACATGAGTACACCATCAAAAAGCTGAGAAAATTTCTCATGCAAAATGTCATCTATATATTACGCGTTGAATAAGTCTCGCGCTAAAAATTCTGGCCTCCCCAAAAAATCTGGAAAACCGATGACTAAAAAAAAAAAATAAATTCATTATATATTTACAAGGTATATATATTATAAATACCTTATATTTACAAGGTATATATATTATAAATACCTTGTATTTATAAGGTATATAATAAATACCTTGTATTTACAAGGTATATACATTCTATATACCTGGTATATACCTTGTGGAAACCTATTTCATATTTCTGGCTTTCTCAAAAATTCTTACAAAACCGTGACTATACCGAGCGAGCGCGAGCGAGCGAGGTAATTCGCTAGTATATATGATCAACTGAGGTTTTCAAAGTGTGTTTTGTGAAATGAAGCTGTAAGTTGATCCATGAAGCTCTATTATTCAATTTTTTCCAGAAGCAAGTGTCCAAAAAAAGTTACGAGTGAACATAAGGAAATATACATTCTAATGGACGCGGTATATACCTCAAAAATATTCTTGTTGTTCAAGGGCTTATATGGTTGATTCTCCTGAAATCTGCTTTTTGCATGTCTTTATGCCATATTCTTAAACTAGTGAAGATGAGCCAAAACTGGCTCGGTCATTCATTCAATATTGTTGTATTCTTCATGATAGGACATAAATATTTCAATTTTTTAGGGTCAGTTAAATTTGCCGTGAAGATATACATGCCAAATGTCACCTCCGTGGCATGTCTACATCTCAAAATCAACTCTATTTGCATGTACCATGCATTCTCATTAGCACCTGACCCTATAATAAATATGAGACCAGCTTCTATACATCCAGAGTAAAGTTTAAGTCTATTATAGGGCTTTGAAAAATGTTTTAAAAAAATTTCCCACGCAATTGAAAAATGTCTCGGATTTTAATCATGCTTCTGAATAATTTCAAACATACCGCCTGCTTTGGGTCGCTAACTCATTTTTGATGTCGCTAGATACGTAAATGTCAAGTATTATAGCCAAGCTTTCGATTGGTGTAGGTTGCGGGTTCAAATTTTACATTTTATCAATGCTGCGATAATTATTCTATTGAAAAATTCACGTGTGTCAAAAAAACGGTCACCTCCGTGGACATGAATATCTCGAGCTATGATCATTCTTTTTAACCGCTCACCCCGTCAAAAGACTCGTTTTTCATGACCAAATTTCGGGTTGAGCGGAAAATTTTGTGCGTTTCTTATTTTTCTTACATAGTTGATCAAAGCAGCGATTTGTCACCTCCGTGTGTGTCACCTCCGTAACCGAAAATAGTCGATTTTAAGCATAAAATCGGACATAGTTTTCGTAAAACGAAATCTCAAAGCCCCAGATTCAATAATTATTCATATTTTATGGTTTAAAAAAGGGTAAACTAGTTCGCGCCGTTCAATATGACAAAAAAATTTTCACCATTTTTTCGTTTTCCATACCCGAAAAAGCAGATTTCGGGAGAATCAACCATATACACCTTAAAATCAAAATATTTTTGATTGAATTTCTCAGTAGGATTTTTCCTTCCATTTTTATTGCATTTTTCAAAAATCCAAAATTTTGATTTCGCACTGAAATACAGCTGTTTCCGTGAGCCTTTGTCGTATACTTTGCATGTCAATATTTTTTTTCTTTTGCATTTTCTATCGAGTAGTCATCTATCGTAACTTCCAGAGAGTACCTATGAAGCTTTAGCATCAGGGTCACATACACTTCTTCAGAACATCAATGCATACGGCCACTACCACGGGTGAGAAGATCAAGACCCAGATTGCTCTGCATAAACAATTAAGCTCAGATTTTTTTTTCATTTTTCGTTTTTTCGAATTTTGAATCATAAAACTATTTTTTAAGGATGAACTATTATGAGTTCAATCGTCTCACCCGTGATAGTGTACGTGACGTTGATGTTCAAAAGAAGTGTACGCGACCCTGGTGTTAAAGCTCCACAGGTACACTCTGAAAGTTACGACAGATGACTAAAAACACTACTCACCAGAAAAGGCAAAAGAAGAAAAAAATTGTACACGTAAAGTATAGAATAAAGGCTCACAGAAACAGCTGTACCTCAGTGCAAAATCAAAATCTTGGAGTTTCGAAAAATCTAATGGAAAGAGGAGGAAAAATCCTATTAAGAGATTCGATAAAGAGTATTATGAATTTAAAGGTTTATAAGCCCTTTAAACGGTAGGCTCACGATGTATGATATAAAAGAAAAAATAAGCAAAAATATGCCTCTTTAACCTCTAAAAAGAGACTTTGAGATAAAACACGCCGTAACTTCCAGAGTTCAACTCCAATTGACTTTCTGACTAGCTAAATCGAAAGATCTCGCGATTTGACACAAGAACTGACTCTAAAAAGGGACTTTTTAGGTTTTCTCGAGCAGTGAAGAGGGAAAGAGCGCGCGGTCGGCCGTTTTCGAGCGCCACGGCCTGTTTTTTTGCTACACTTTACGTTTCTTCATCTTTCACGCGTTAGCCTTTCGCCATAAAAATGGAATAAATACATGGTTTTTGTGTATTTTTTCTTCATCTTTCCAACCGTGCGATTAGTTTGAGGAAAAATAGCTTTGTTTCGCGAATAAAACGAAAATAATGAAACTATTAATGAAAAAAGTTAAGGGGAGTCATACACCAATTCACTACACTTTGTCATTTTTTTTATTTAAACCGCAGTTTTATGTCAATCTGCATTTTCAACATAAAATTGACATCTTTGAGCCCTAAAAAATGTGAAAAGAATTGCAGAAGAGGCCTTTGCATCTAAACGTAGCTCATTTTTGCTATTTTAGCCTTTTGGCACTGTGGGCAAGGTTCAGATCAGAGTTTTTGGGTTGGGAGTTCCTGATAGGTCCAAAATCTTCAGAAAAGTATCCTTTATGGGCTGAGTTTTGTAGAATTTTGACTTAGACTTTCATATCAGTTCTATTATTCAATGTGTGCTCAAAAAAATTGATAACTTTTTTTTATATCTTGTTTTTTTCACATATTTTGGCATACAAACTTTTTTATAACTCTAATCGAAATTCCACAAAACTCAGCCCATAAAGGATACTTTTCTGAAGATTTTGAGACCTATCAGGATCTCCCAACCCAAAAACTCTGATCTGAACCTTGCGCACAGTACCAAAAGGCTAAAATAGCAAAAATGAACTACGTTTAGATGAAAAGGCCTATTCTGCAATTTTTTTCACATTTTTTAGGGCTCAAAGATGTCAATTTTATGATGAAAATGAAAATTGACATAAAACTGTGGTTTATATCAAAAAAATGACAAAGAGGAGTGAATTGGTGTATGACTGCCCTTAATTTATTTGTTCGAAAAAGTCACATTTTTAAAAATTAATTGCACTATTGGAAAGATGAGAAAAAATACACAAAAAAAATGTATTTTTTTATTTTTGTGGTGAGCGTATAACGCGTGATAGATAAAGAAACGTAAAGTGTAGCGAAAAAATAGGCTGCGGCTGACCGCGCGCTCTTTCTCTCTTCACCGCTTGATAAAACCGAAAAAGCCTCTTTTTTAAGTCATTTCTTATGTAAAACGCAAGTTCTTTCGATGTAGCTAGTCAAAAAGTCAATCGGAGTTGAACTCTGGAAGTTACAGGGTGTTTTATCTTCAAGTCAATTTTGTGAGGTTATGGAGGCATATTTTTGCATTTTCAACCTCACAAGTAAAAAGCTGAGGTAAAAACCTATCGAAAACTTATGTTGGTTTATTTTTCTGAATTTTATTTAACCCTTTGCAAGCGAGTTAAAAACTGAGCAATTCGGCCGTTTTCGCTGCCCGCGCGTGGTGATGGGGCATTATTCGTGTTTTTACCCATATGTAACCTAAATTTTTCGATGACTTCTGGTTACAAATCTCATTTTTTAGTCTATCGCATAGCTTCCTTTATGGGGTAGCAAAAAAACGTTGCTATTTACCCAAATTCGGCAAATTAATAGGGCCGTGTGAGTACCCGATTTTTCGAGTTTTACTCGACGTAAACTCGAATCATCGAGTTATATTTTACGTAAACCGTATAAATATGTATATATTTTATAAAATTGTTCTGAACAGTTAGTTGTAGTTTTTAATTCAATGATAAATAATAACACAATCTTATATTTCAATGTGTTTCCTTAGAGAGGAAGCTATGTAATAGGCTTTGAAATGAGATTTGGAACCATTTCAAAATATTCCGACCGTGTTAACCAAGCAAGCCACCAGGAATAATATTCTCATGGTAACATCGTGAGTACCCGAAGTAAGCCTTTACCGAGTTCGAATTCCTACCTAGTGCGTCAAGCGAACTGCCCAGGATGATATTCATCCAGTGTCATCGCAACTTCCAGGAGAATCATCAATATTTGCGAAATATACGCGACAGCGAGTACATACGCATTCATACAATATACACTAGACTGGAAACAAAAAAAATTTTTTTTTTATTTTACCCGGACCAAATGGAAAAGTGATCTATGTACCAAAAAAATAGTCTGTGCAAAATTTTAGCTCATATATATTGAGATAACCCGTGCCGCCAGTCGCTTGAAGGTTTTTAAA